CAGTGTTCGAACTATACCGTGGACTTTGGGGGAGCCCACTTGTTTTTTTGTTTTTTTTTTATAAGGGGGGGTGGGGGCTACAGAAGAATACCATAATTCCTCCGTTCAATTAGGCCTAAAACATCGAGAGTCAGGTAGACCTATAACAACCCAGCCACAACACATAATTGCGAATAACATGCCTTACCTTAACACAGAATCGACCACAGAGTCCAGCGTTTATATTTTTTCTACGAATCTTTGAGTTAACATGTACTAAACATAGTGGAATTTGCACCGCAGCGCCCCCACACCTTGATGCTCATGACAAGAATAGCATGTGTAGTTATCTTTATTGAAGTGAATTGGGTTTAAATCGCCGTCATGCATGAAGGAATGATATTTTTGCAATTTTACACATAATAATCCACGATGATCACATTACACAAAACTGAAATTGCACGTCAAAATAACACATTGTCAATATTTTTGAGAGCCCCCAAAATTTCACAAATCACGTTTTCAGGGGAGCCCATGTCTTATGCTCCACCTAGCTCCCCCGTAGTTCGCACCCTGAGCTACACTGTTAGAGCTACTACCAATTCATATTCAGCTCATCTTAATAAAAAAAAAATATTTTAATAAAGCTCTTATATCCTGCTAAACCTGTAATTGAACAGAAAAATGAAGGTCACCTTATAGAGAAGAAGAACCTTAAAGGAATATTGCAGGTTATTTAATGTCTGTGGAACTACTTTTCTAGGCGGAAGATCCTGTGGTCATGTATTATCACTGTTAACATTAGCCTTGTTTTTAGCTGGTCATGACATGAGTTTGATTTTAAATTTCCATAGACAAGGGTTTACAAGCGATTCTTTTGCACCAATCTATGATAACACCCAATACTAACACATAACACATAATGTTGGATTGTTTTTGTTACACTATCAAAACAGTGTGATAGTAGCTGAAAATGTTGCTAAAAATGTACTCACCCTCCATCCAAGATGTAGATGAGTTTGTTTCTTCATTAGAACAGATTTGGAGAAATTCACTTGCTCACCAATGGATGCTCTGCAGTGAATGGGTGCAGTCAGAATGAGAGTTCAAACAGCTGATAAAAAACATCACAATAATCCATAAGTAGTCCACATTACTCCAATTCAAGTCTTGTGAAGTGAAATACTGTGTTTGTAATAAACAAGTCTATCAAGTTGTATTTAACTTCCAGCAACGATCCATAATATTGCTTTCTGTGGTGAAAAAAAAAATTCTGATTAAGGAGAGGAATATGCACAGATCAAGCACAGTTTACAAGCCAAAACAGCTCTAAACAATATGTCAGTGGATTTTAATGTGAGAGGACAACAGGGGATGGACTTTTCACTGGAGGAATTCTTATTATGGATTATGGACTCCACAAGCGAAGCTTTAAAGTTGAAATGCCTTAATGATGGATTTGTTTATTACGAACATGCAGGTTTCACTTCACAAGGACTGGAGTCGTGTCGTTTACTTGTGGATTATTGTGATGTTTTTATCAGCTGTTTGGACTCTCATTCTGACGGCACCCATTCACTGCAGAGGATCCATTGGTGAGCAAGTGATGTAATGCTAAATTTCTCCAAATATGTTCAGATGAAGAAACAAACTCATTTACATTTTGGATGGCCTGAGGCTAGGTGAATTTATACATGCATATTGTCTATGATAATAGACAACATAGCTCAGATGTTTGCCATAGTAATTAATATCAAAGTCCACCATGCTTCACAGTGATGGATATAAAGGGGCCTCCATTTGGCCATCAGCTTTCTTAACATGCCATTATTTTGTGCATGCCTATTAAGGTTCCTTTTCTACACTAAACCTTCATCTTATCCTTTCTTTTTAGGTCCATGAAGAGACCCCGCTGTGGCGTCCCAGACAAGTTTGGAGGTCCGATCAAGACCAATGTACGACGGAAACGTTATGCCCTCACTGGCCACAAGTGGGACAAGAGCCATATAACTTTCAGGTGGGTTTGGATCTGACTCTTTAATCCATATAATCACCATTTCCAGTGATTTTGATTTTAATTGTAACACTGTTCTTCTTGTGTCTGCCATGGCTGCAGTATTCAGAACTACACGCCTAAGGTTGGGGAGTACAACTCATATGAGGCCATCCGACGGGCCTTCAAAGTGTGGGAGAAAGTGACGCCGCTAACATTTGATGAGATCCCTTTCCTGGAGGTCAAATACGGCCGTCGGAAGGAACCTGATATTATGATCTTCTTTGCATCTGGTTTTCATGGTGACAGTTCCCCGTTTGACGGAGAGGGGGGTTTCCTGGCACACGCTTACTTCCCTGGTCCAGGGATGGGTGGAGATACTCACTTTGACTCAGACGAGCCTTGGACCATTGGTTCAGAAAACCTACAAGGTGAGTTAAAAGGACCTGAGCATTTAATATTATATAATATCTAATATGCATGTATGTAAAATTAAGTTCATACACTGCCACTCAAAAATTGTGGTTGGTAAGCATTTTTAATATCTTTGAAAGAAGTCTCTTATGCTTATCAAGGCTGCATTTTATTGATGCAGCATTATTGAAATATATGAATACTATTTAAAATATCAGTTTTTTTACTTTTTAAATGTAATTTATTCAAGTGATGGCAAAACTGAATTTTCAGCAGGTATTATTTCAGTCTTCAGTGTCATATGATCTTTCAGAAATCATTCTATTATGCAGATTTAGCATTCAAACATTTCTTATTATTATCAGTGTTAAGAAGAGTTGTACTGCTTAATTTTTTTTAGAATGACTGGCAGCATCTGCATCTCACTGTTTTGTAGACCCATCATGAAACAAACGTATTCACTTACTGTAGAGTCTAATGATTAAACCTGTGTCAATCCAAGTTATTCTGCAAAATCTATGGCAAACAAAAGAAGGTCACATTTGCAAGCCTACATTTTTGTGTTCACTCTAAATACTTAATAGCTGTTTTGTATTTGCTATTGTGAGGTTTTCATGGTCCTGTGGAGGCGGGTGACATCATTTGAGACAGATGAGTGAGTATGTGAGCCAGTGAGCAGCATGTTGATGTATTTAGAGGGTCAGACATTCCAAGAGACTCTTGTGCACTTTGCATTAGAGATCTGTGAAGTATGTGATAAACAATAAGGTGCAGTGGGGTCCAAAGTCTGAAAACACATAGTCCTGATGATTTAGGATTCTGAAAAAAATGGAAAGGAAACTTTGTGATATAGACCATTTGAACCTATGTACAAAAGGTCAGAAGTTTAAAACCTGGGGCCATATTACAGAAATATCCTAACTTGATATGTATGTTTAGTAACCATGCTAATTTCAGTTTAGGATCTGATTTAGAACATTACCTTCTTAGATCTTAACCGAAGACTGTAGAATACCCAAGACGTGTCACTCGAATAGTTTTGAATGGGGGAAAAATGCAACACTCAATATGGCCGCTCTATTGAGCGAAGCCTTCTGAGTAAAAGAGCCAATTGCTAATCGGTAAAGTCCCGGTTTCTATAGAAACAGTCAGCATTCGGAGACGTGTGCTTAGGACTGCGAATGTGCACTGCCTGGTCTAGCCTGAAAAATAAGCTTTTTTTTAAAGGGGTGGTTCAGTGGTTTTTTTCTAGGCTTGATTGTGTTTATGGGGTGCAGTCTAACATGTGTTGATGCTTCGTTTTTTAAAAAACGCATTAAAAAAACGCATTCTTTTTCACATAATTTACCTTTATTCCACACTGCTCTGTCCCTTCTCTGAGAAACGCGCTGATCAATTTCCTGCTTTTATGAAGCCCCTCCCTCAGAAATAGGCGATGGGCTCTGATTGGTTAGCTAGCCCAGTGTGTTGTGATTGGCTAAACCGCCTCTAGTACGTGTCTAAGCGTCCCGCCCCTCTCCTCAGCGGCATGTGCCCTACCAGCCGTTTTTGTAGGCATTAACCTGCCAGAATTTTAAAAGACAAATCTCCGTTTGCATTGAACTTTCAGCTTCGTAACTTTGCAGATATTGTTTATGCTCAAACAGCAACATTACACACTAACTAACGTTAAAAAAGTGAAATCGCAATGAACCACCCCTTTAATGCTATTTGAGCAAAAGAAACAACATTTATGATTTATATTTATGAACATTTAGCTTGGCGAACAGTTTTGGAGAATTTGATGTTTTCCCATTCAAAGAGACAGGAGTTGCACTTGCATGCCCGAGAGGCGTTTCAAAGATGGCCGCAGAGTGAAATTACTTGTCTTAAAGGGACTTTCATCTTAACACAAGTTCTAACATTGACAGCCAATCAGAATCCACCCGACTTTAAAGAGCTCAAGCATTTAAAGCTGCAGACGACAAAACTGCAGCGCATGCTTATAATAAACAGAATGCCGTTTCAACATTCAACGGAGTCCGACTAGTACCGATGGTGTTGAAGAGGGCTGCAACAAGTGATTATTTTGATAATCGATTAATCTAACGATTATTACAACGATTAATCAACAAATCATCGATTAGTTCACTGATTAATCATACTTTGATTATTCAGCTTTTGCAATTATTTAAAATATTGAGCTATATATATTCTAACAAATAAATAAAAGGTAATCACTTCAGCTTTTGAAAATCATATTATGTAATTACAATTATTATACAATTATTTGAAAATATTTGGCACACAAAATGAGATGACAGACAGAGAAACTCTCTCATTCACCATTTAATTAGCTAAATGAAAAAGTAACTGAATGACATAATTCTGCCTAACATCTTTTGTAAATCATATGGATAAGAAACAAAATAAAGGTAAGTGATAAGACGCTTTATTTTTGGATAAATAATTTTATTCACAACATAATCTCTCTTAAAATACCTTACAGCAGGGGTGTCAAACTCGCAGCCCTGAAGAGTTTCGTTCCAACCCTGCTCCAACACACAAACCATGTAGTTTTCAAATAAGCCTGAAGGACTTGATTAGCTGGATCAGGTGTGTTTAATTATGGTTGAAGCTAAACTCTGCAGGGCTGTGGCCCTCCAGGAGCTGAGTTTGACACCTGTGCCTTATAGGGTCATGATAATCAAAACAGATCTCTGCAAACCAAACTATCACTTTAATGAAATAAATAATTTTTTCCACTAATAAAAATATTTTATCATTAGCTAGCTCAACACTGGAGAGCTGCTTTATAACAGAAAATCAAGTTGTAATTCTAACTGAAAGCAACACTGGTTTTTCATGTTTAATACTGTAAAGCTGCTTGATTTGAGGCTATCTATTGCATAAAATACTATATATTATAGTCATTGACACTGCAAACCAAATTTCAAGTCGATCGGACCAACGGTTTCCTAGTAATCGTTTTTTCAAAATTATAGTGCCACCAAGTGGCAGAGCTGCACAATTTTTTTTATTTGACCAAAGATTGAGCTCATACACATGTGTAACAAGTTTGGTGAAGATATCTCATTTCGTTCACAAGTTATAGCCTTTATGGTAATATGGGTACGCGACTTTCGAACGTTTTGGCGCCCCATTGCAACAGTGAGTCAAAAAGTAGGTTTTGGACATAATTAAAATTTGCGGAAAAACGAGACCTCCTAGACCCAAAATCAGAATGACCATTTTAAATTTGCCTTGACCCAAGGATTCCAAAAATGAATTTTGGAGTCTACGATAAGCGGTTTAGGAGTTATTAGCACTTTTGCGTTTTTGATCGCTGTAGTGCCCCCTATTGGCCGATTGGGCTGAGACTTTGATAGATTCTCCCCAAATTGAGCTCTATCATTTGGCCAAGTTTCAAGTCTCTAGGCTTTACGGTTTGGTCTGCACGATCAGTTTTAGGGGAGAAGAATAATAATAAAAAAAATTAAAATCCTAACGATTTCAATAGGGTTTCAGCACTGCGTGCTTGAACCCCTAATAAACGTGACGTGACTGGACTTTACTGGAGTGCTGAACTGTAGAGCTCCTGCAACTTTCACATCGCTGTAATAAGATGTGTTCTTAACTGCTGCTTTTTCACCACTGTTAGTTTTTGTCGTGTTTATTTCGTTATTGAGAGGAAAAGCACGCATCATATATTTATGATGGGCTGAATTACAGTCTTGCGCTACAGACATCTGAGCGGACAGATACTGAACAACGGCCTGGACAATCCCCCAAAGTCAGCATGGTGTGTCATGACCTTAAGATGGGAAGATGCATTAATACGGCTCCTGATTTTTAAAGTAACTTGGAAAGGCCTCTTGGTCTATAAAAGGGTCAAATGTTAATCAGGGGATGTCTCGTTTTTCAAACGCTTTAATGAATCATTCCATGGTGACACATTTGATTAATTACCGACACACTGACTGCAGCCTTCACTGAGGAAGCACATAATGCAACTTCAAAAGGAATCTCTAGGATTTTCCACAGCCTATTTCCATAGGTTTCTAATGTCTGGCTACAGGATCATCATTGTTAGCAACAGTTGAAGTCTCAGTCACAATGACACAGCTGTGAGGAGAGATGTCTCCTATTGCCCTGAAGTTGCAACTTTTAACAGTCGTGGCTCTCACACAAGAGCAGCTTTGAATGACGACTGCGTTTGTCTGTGAAAGCCGTCATTGATTGAACTGTCGGAAAGCATTAGGACAGCAAGTTCAGTACTTCTCTTATCTGCACAGTTATTAGCCCTAATGATGTTGCCTCTCTGAAAAAAAAAAAAAAAACTCTGAACAAGCAACATTACTGTCTGATGACTTCAGACGTCCTGCATGGATGGTTTGGATTGTCCACACTAGATAATAATGGATACCGTCAGTATTAAAAGGAAGCAGTCAATAATTTTTTCCCCCTGAAATCCGGATTTAAGAATTGCATAGAGCCATTTACACCCGCAGAGTCACAGATCATTGTGGTAGCTGGAAAATGGGGACAGAACATGATTAAAATCAGTCACCGACTGAGTGCACTGTCACTGTGAGCGTTTCAATAAATCTCTGTAGTGTGCAGATAATTGCAAATGTTCTGGACTGATCCACAAACTACTTTCATATGAATATGTATTGAATGTGCACTTGCAGTATTTTTCTTAAAATTGCAGATAATGTAATATTAATGAGATGAAATTCTGCTTACAGTAAAGGCCAGATTTACTAACAACAGATTTACAAAGCAAACGATCACTGTCAGGAAGATTTACTAAAGAGCACATTGAAAAATTAGCCCTGAAAAGGCGTCGACACATTTTAATTTTTGCGACTGACCTTATTGCATATGCATTTGTAGGAGTGTCCCTTTCAGACACAATTTATGGGAGGAGAGTTTTTAACCCTCTATGGTACCGTGTTGCCTCCAGGCAACACAACATATATATATATATATTTTTATAAAATGAGACACTCATTTAATTGACCAATGCAGGGAAGTAGAAGTCAAATACTAATAAATGAGCATACAAAAAAGTGGTCACATGACCCACAGGGGTCCATTTTGTTTCCACTTTCAGGACATGTGCACATGTCACATGACTCCATATTTTGTCCAACGAAAAGTGCATTTTTCATCAATTTCCGTGCATATAATTGCCTACAAAAAAATATTAGTCACCTTCATTGGAAAGTAAAGAAGTATTTTCAAATATTTTACATAATATTTCATCAAATGTATCATAAGACATTACAAAAAACAGCATGTTGCCCCAAGCATACACTTTCACTACTGTTTCTTAACACTTTAGTATGACAAAAGTGCACTTTTTAAAAGTATAATCTCAAATTAAGTGTTTTATGTTAAAGTACTGTATTGTAAAATATTGTTTTAATAATTTTTGTTGTGATTTACATCTGCTTAGTCAACAAAAAAATAAGTGTACTTTGATTTACAAAGAAGTTGATTTACAATTTTGACTCTAGTGCGTTATTCAATATTACATTTAATTAATATATTATGAATGTACTCAATTGCAACTTAATCATTACAAATGTGTAATTACAAATATTGGTAACACTTTACAATAAGGTTCATTAGTTAACATTAGTTAACTACTTTAGTTAACATGAACTAAGAATGAACAATATTTCTACAGCATTTATTCATCTTAGTTAACGTTAATTTCAACATTTACTAATGCATTATTAAAATCAAAAGTTGTGCTTGTTAACATTAGTTAATTCACTGTGAATTAACATGAACTAACAATGAACTACTGTATTTTCATTAACTAACATAAACAAAGATTAATAAATTAATTGTTCATTGTTTGTTCATGTTAGTTAATACATTAACTAACATTAACTAATGGAACCTTATTGTAAAGTACTACCCAAATATTAGTACATTTGGCAGTACATGTTTAAAATATTGATAATAGAAAACAATTGAAGTAATTATAAAACGTATGTAATTAAGTGAATCAAGTTCAGCTAATTGCTTTTAATATAAATTTGAAATTTAAAAAATTATCATTTAATTAAATGTTCGAAAATTAAAAGTATATATTTTTTAAGTATATAATTTCCATATATAATTGTCCTTTTTTAGTGTTATTTTAGTATCATTGAGATAATATTATAGTTATTTTGTGTCTTTTTTATTTTTATATATTCTGTTTTAATTTTAATTAAAAGTTTTAGTAATTTTGTGCTTTTGTTATTTTTAGCAAAAATGTGTGTGTGTATATATACTGTATATTGTTATTGTTTATTTAACTTTTAGTAACAAGTGTTTTTTTTTTTCAATTTTAGTTTTAGTTAACTATTATAACCCTGTTTAAAACTGTGCTAAAGTGTACTTATTTTTCACAAGGGTAAGATCACAAACCAAGTACAAATTGAGGCTGTTTTCACACGTTTGGTGTGGGCCACAGTCAGTTTGATGTCAGAGTTTGGTTTGGTTTGTCTAAATGTGGTTTTGAGAAACTCGTGTGTGCACTAGAAAGTGGAGGTCTGGGGTACGGTTCATGTAGTCATGGTTCGTAGTTGGTATGAAAGCAATCCAGCCTAATTTGTTAACCAATATTGATAAACTGTTTGCCTTTTATAGTGAAATAATGCATTTCCCATTGTTGCCTTTGGCGAACATAATGGGGAGAGACGGATCTGTGGGGATCAAACTCTGCTGTGTACCAAACAATCCAAGTGTAAAAACTAACTTAAAGTCAAAATGAAGCATCATTTGCAAACCCATTTTACTTCTGTAAAGTGATGTATTTAGTGAAACTTCAGTGAGAAAAAAATGGTAGGGCAGGACTTGACTGGATTGTTGTAAGTGTTCCATACTACTGTACATGATCCATACTAGATTTTGCAATCAAGTTTGGGGCTATTACCCTTCCTGAAACACCTGCCCGCACTCACAGATTGAAACTTAAGCAGTTTTAGTGACGTCAGCCAAAAAGGAAAGCAAGTTCAGTCTCATTTTGAAAAATTCAAAGACAAACATTTGTCTTTGGAATAGCGTGCACCGATGAACTGTTTAGGTCGGGAAGATGTATTAAGATAAGGAGAGTCCATTTTTATTTCATGCCACTTTAAAGTGCACATCTTCTCAGCACTGAGGAAGAACTAACAGAGGGAACCCTTTTCCCAACTTCCCCTAAAATGCTCCACACTCTCCTCTTCACTCATGTCTTATTTACCCAGTCAACTAAATATAGCTGCACTTCTATATCTTCTGCAAGACTAGTAGCGATTTTGTTTAATGTGCGCACTTAACTGCAGCAAATGTAATGCTCTAGTTGATACGCAGTATATCATGTGTCCTTAAGTCAGAGTGCCCATAAAATGCAGCTGTGATCTCCCAGAGCGAATGAAGATTAATAAGCTGTTGTATCAGACATTCTTTACTAGTGACCTTAGTAAATTAGCTCTTGTCCTCATTGCTGACCATCAGATCTCTCTTATACCACAGCCTGTGATATTTAATATGTGTCTCCCCGTAGGTAATGATCTGTTCCTGGTAGCCGTACATGAGCTGGGCCATGCCCTTGGACTGGAACACTCCAATAATCCTTTGGCTATTATGGCTCCTTTCTACCAGTGGATGGACACCGAAAACTTTGAGCTGCCTGAGGATGATCTCCGTGGGGTCCAGCAGATTTACGGTAACCTGACACCTGCGATGTCTTAAATATGGCATGGAAACATGGGTTTTGCAGCATATTACCTCTGATCTATGGAAGCAGATTTCCATCACGGAATTAAAAAAAATATATATATATATACACTGAACAAAATTATAAACGCAACACTTTTGTTTTTGCCCCCATTTTTCATGAGCTGATTTTGAGGGAAATTGTCAAAGTCACAATTACCTTTTTTATTTTTTATTCCTTGGTGGAAAAAAGCTTTTTTTTTCTTTTCGAGTTGAGTGAGAATTGCGAGAAAATAAGTATTGAATTTGTGGTATATATACAATTGCAATTCTGAGAAAAAAGCTTGACAACTGACTTTTTCCCCCCTCTCTTTTTTTTTAGATCTCACAATTCTGACTTTTATTCTCAGAAATGATAGTTTATATCTTGCAGATTTTCAAGAAAAAATTGTGGGATAAAACTTATATATATTACTTATATATACGCTGAACACAATTATAAACGCAACCCTTTTGTTTTTGTCCCCATTTTTCATGAGCTGAACTCAAAGATCTAAGACTTTTTCTATGTACACAAAAGGCCTATTTCTCTCAAATATTGTTCACAAATCTGTCTAAATCT